CTTTTAGAGTATTTTAACACAATTATCTGACAAATAATCTGGTTTGCTACGAGGTTCAGATCATCCAACAAGTTTTTGGGTTTTGTAAATGAAATCAGAGAATTTAACATTTTTGTTGTACCTGTAAATTTTATGGTTCCTAACCAAGCTAGCTAGCATTTCGTTACATCCTAGCACTCCTCACTCCGTGGGATCACTTTTCAATTTAACCCCCCTCAAAACAACAAAACAGCATTGTGACAGCTAGAACAATAACATTGCACCTTCAAAATCGGTGGTGTCACTGTGGCCGTGTCTGTTTTTTATATGATGATATTATAAGCAAGTATAAATTAAAATGATAAAATGTTTGCATGACTTTTGTGTGTTCAGATCAAACTGAGTGCCTGATTGTCAGCTTTCCTACTGTCTATAGTTGCACACACAGCTGTTAGTCCCAACTAGTAGAAATAAGTGTTAAGGGGTAAAAATTGCTAAGTGGTGGGAAGAAGGTGAGGCATTGAGGAGCCACCTCATGCCACAAGCAAATGAGCCCACAGTCCTTGATCATCCTGGCTGTGTTAGATGCTGAATGCTTGAGCTACATAGCTAGCTCTTTAAATGTCAGCTACTTTTCCCTATAGACTGGCGATGCTCTGCCTGAAGTCGTGTCTACAGTCAGATGTCACACAGACCTTGTTTTCAGGAGCTTCCTGGGTAAAAATAGTGCCCATTCATATGCACATGTAGCTCCATTAAAAACACTCACTTCAAACAGTCATTGGCTGCCCTTCCCTGTGCCTCGTTCTGCTAGAAGTCTCTTCCTGTTAAAGGGAACTCTTCCTCCTTGCTGACTGACTAACATCGTAGGGTTTTAACCTTACAATATAGATTTTGTTGGGATGACTGTTGCTGATGAAATTTAAATGAATTGACGCTAATGACAAGTGAAAAATAGCTATAAGAAAACAGTCTTTACAGCTGAGATGAGCCTGCTCCGTGAAGTCAGAATGAATGTGACCCTTCCTTTACCAGTTAGAGTGTTGGGATCATAGACTGAGGTGAAAGGCAAGAAGCCATTTACTGACTCTCTCCATTCAGCTTGACTAAGCCTGAACAAATCTTCCAAGAGAAAAGACATGCTCCTGCTGCAGGACGAGTTAGAGCAGAGCTGTGCTGCGTAATGATCTTCCTCTAATCTTGTTATTAGAGACCTGAAGGTGTCTAATCTGCTGATGACAGACAAAGGCTGCGTAAAGATTGGTGAGTCACCTCTGTTATCATATCTCTTCTGCAGCTTTTACTGTAATCACCTTATACTCCTACTGACATGCCTCCCAAACCCTGCCACTGCTGAACTTTGACCTGTCACACAGTGACAGTGATGGCTGAAGTGTTTTTTTTAATCTATTAGTGTTGTTGCCACCATGATTTAAAAAAGAAACACACACACACTTTTTTTTATTGTCAGTTTTAAGGAAAATTGTAATAACAGGTGTTTTTTAAATCATGTAGATAAGTTTAAGATGGCCTGCTGGGTTAAAATCAGGCACCATAATGGGGAAGAAAGACAATTTTAATGATGTATTGTTGTTGGTGCCATGCTGGTCTGGGTATTTTTCAGAAACTGGTGACCTACTGGGAATTTCCCACACAAACATCTGTGGAGTTTACAGAGAATGAAGAAGAAAACTGGAATTAAGGAATTAATTCTAGTTCCATCACAGAGGTGGATTTATGTCAGCTCTGAAGGGAAACGGGGGGTCCAACCCAGTAATAACAAGGTGTTCTTAAAAAAGTGGCCTCTAAGTGTATTTGCCGACTCAAATGTCAGATTATTTTATTTAATAATAATAATAATAATAATACATTTTATTTATAGGCGCCTTTCAGACCCT